GAATGGATAGAATAGTGTGCTTCCATGTGGTGGGAATATTTTATGAGCTAGTTTATACAATCATATATGGGGGGGTTGTGTTTGTGTATATATACATATACACACAAATATGTGCCTATATGATTATCTATATACCTGCATGTGTATGTATACATATTTGTGTATAAAAGTTGTGATATAAACATTTTCCCAGTTTTTTCAATTGAAATATAATTCACCCTTTTTTAGTGCACAACTTTTGATAAATGTAAAACAGATTTCTCTCTATGTCAAAAAAGTGGAAAAGTCACTATAGATATTCACAAAGGGTAACATTGCTTTAAGGTCTTTGGAGGCAATGACAATGATCTTATCCAGGAAGATAACTTTATACACCCCGAGTGTTAAAGCCAAACAGGGTCTGGGAGATTATCTAGTCAATGGTTTTCTACACTTTCTTTGAGCACTGATGTATTTTAGTAAACAAATGAGCATGGAACCACAACAGATAAAAGCAGAGTTGCTTTGCAGAGACCAAGAAATGTGGCTCAAAAACGGCCAATGGAGTCTACCTCTCTCATGCCCAAATTGGGAAACTGAGGCCAGAAGAGAGCCAGTGGCCGCTTGAGGTTAGCCACTTTTTATTGGCAGAGCTGGAGCTCAGACTCAAGCCGTTGGCTATAGTTTAAGGCATTTTCCATGCTGTGTTAGTCTCATGAGAATCGTAAGTATCACTTAACTCCAGCAAATGGATTGATCCCTGCTTGGAATAGCACAGTGGGACCATAAATATTTACACACCACTGAATCGGAAAGAATAGATCAGAGGCCCCTGTGATGGCGGAAGTGTGAGACAATCCAGGGAAGGCCAGAATAGGTCATTCCGGAAACCTGAGGATGTAAAGGAGTTGGGACCCAGTATAGGCCAGACCTGGGAGCCAAGTGCCAGGAAGAAGAATGGTGAGCTTCCAGAATTTGAGGAATCAACCAGGCCCAACACAGCTACCCCCAGGTTTGTCTGCTCTCCCTTCCTAAAGGGCCACGGCTGGGCCCTTGTCTTGAGGATGCAATTTAAACGTAGCCCCTCGGAGGTAGGAGAAACTGCCCTTTGTCTCCATTCTCATGCAGGCATCCTTTCCCACTTCTATTCTCTTTGTTTGCATGTAGGAGGTGGGGAGGGGGCAGAGGGTGTAAGACATGTGCCTGTGGTGTGTCACTTCCGTATCTGTCCCCTATCCCCTGCATCTACTCAGCAAATCCACCTGGATGTTCAGACTGTAATGATAAGAACACAAAACACAACCGGTCTTTACAAGTCTGTGATACCAGACAACCATAAATTGTCCCCATCCACACTGATGAGAAAAATAAACAA